CTTCACACTTTGAGTTCTTCACAACGACTTAATGCATTCACAAAAACTGTTGCGTTATATATGGTCTACGAGACGAGGTAATAAGAATGAAATGGTAATTTCAATTCTACCTCCTTGTGGTGGCTTAAAAAAAAACAACACAAACAATTTTACGATCTGCAATTGTGTCACAGTGATACCTTCATTGTTTAAAAGGGTTGCGGTGCATTCCAGTGATACCTTAATTGTTAAAATGGTTGCAAAAAACGCGCATTTCTTATGAAGGTGCCTTAAAATACCCACAAAAAGGGTTGTAAAAACAACCTTCATTTCTTAAGTAGGTGCTATAAAAAAACTACACAAGTAAGTTTACGACATGCAGCAGTGTCTTAAAAAACGCACACAAGCAATTTTCCGATTTGCAATTGTGTCACAGTGATACCTTCATTTTTTAAAACGGTTGAATAAAAAACCCACACAACTATGTTTACGACATGCAAATGCATCACAGTGATGCCTTGGTTTTAAAAGGGTTGTAAAAACGCAAATTTCTAATAATTTTTTTTAATTTCTTTTCTATTACTAAGTTAAATTCATTTTTTCATTTACATATGTTCTGACTAAATAAATTTCTAAAGAGAAAAATAAACTCCAAAAAGAAAAAACATAGGCATTTCGCTGACTTTTTCATGTAAAGTGTAAAACCGGCGATTTTTTGAAATGTTTGTATGGTGAACCCCCAGGGGGTTCCAGGGGGTGTGCCACTGGCATCGGTGGGTCGGGCCTCCAAAGTTAGTGGGGGTCGGTCATACATTTGGACTCGATTGGAGCACTCTAAATGGGTCAAAGTGGGATTTTTCAAATTTTGCCCCTACCCAAAAGTTCGAACCAAATTGGGGGACATCAGAATTCGTTTTAGAGGTATGGTTCCTTCGGCAAAGTTTCTTATTTTGATCCCTAGAATATGATTTTCACAGAGCAATGGGCGATTTTTTTGCCTCCCCACAAATCGACCCGGCCTAATGTACATAGTACATAGTAGTGTGTACCTGTGTATATTAAACATTGAATAACCACAGGAAATATAGCCAAAACTGGTCAAAATAAAAAGTTGATATTATTCCTTCCATCACTGTATGTACGTACAGTCATGTGAAAAATAATAGGGACACGACATTTTGATTAGTATTGCTTATTTTTCTTTTGTTTATTTAATGATTATATATTTTTTTTTAATACAGCTTATTTTTTAACAAAAACCATCGGCCTAAATTTCAAACTTTGTAGAAAAATAAGAAAAATTGAACAAATTTTTACATCAAACTTTTTAAAGAATTTTTATCAAAAATCAACGCCAAGTCTTAGCCACTTGAAAGTTGCGTTTTAATGAGATAGAATTTAATGGACTACAAAAATACATATTTAGATTTTTTTTTTAAATTCTTTAAAAAGTTTGATGTAAAAATTTGTTCAATTTTTCTTATTTTTCTACAAAGTTTGAAATTTAGACCGATGGTTTTTGTTAAAAAATAAGCTGTATTAAAAAAAAATTATAATCATTAAATAAACAAAAGAAAAATAAGCAATACTAATCAAAATGTCGTGTCCCTATTATTTTTCACATGACTGTATGTATGTACATTAAAAACAAAACTTAAACAAAACTTAAAAAAAAAAATAAATTCAGTCTGATTAACACTTATTCACATTCTTATTATTTAATATTGCCCTTTAAATCTTCTATCTCCAATAGACGACGATTTCTCTCTATTTTACTCTCCACTTCACTAAGTCTAAGTTTTTCCATAAATAAATTATGTCGCTTCATTTCTTCCACTTTTTCCTGTTCTAGTTGAAACATTTTTTCAAAATTTTGCTTTTGAACGTCATAAATCCGATCAAGGGAGCGATAAATTTTTTTTGTAATTTCCTTTTGGTCCTTTAAACCCGTCACAGCCTCTTTTATTGACTCACACACCTCTTTCTACCTCTTTCTGTACACCGATTTCCTCTACAAACATATCGTTAGTATAGCTATTTTGCGCCTTGCGGAGTGTTGCGTTTTTTTTTCGTTGGCGGCTGATACGGAGTAACTTCCTCAAGTTCTTCAATAATGCTATCGAGTATATCATTCTCTGCTGTGGAATTATCTGCAGGTGACTTTGTCACATGACTTGAAAGGCCAAACTTGAGTATATTTGATACACCTTCCACAGATTCCTTCATCCCAACTAACTCGTATATGGCTTCTTCAGTAGGCGACAACTTTTGTTCCATGTTGGGTCCTTCACCAGTTCCTTTGCTGGCTTTTAGATTTTGGGCCGCCTTTCGCCGTACGTATTTTTTTTGATCAGCCCAAACCTGAAATATGTATTGCACTTTTAATTCTTATACCCGCAAGTAGCTTATCATCATTACCTTTTTCCATTCGCACACATTTTTCATTGGTGGCCTTGCTGAGTTTAAATCCTCTTCCACCTGGCGCCAAAACTTGTTAACATCGTCCTTCTGGCCTTTAAAAAAACCGCGCGCAATGTCTGGGTGCGCTTGCATGCGACTTAAAAGCAGCTCGATCTGATGTTTATTGGTTGGTTTTGACCTGGGTGTAATAATAATGTTATTAGTATTCATTTTAGTAAAAGTAAATAATAATAAATATTCCATTTATTATGCAAAAATCTAATTACTTACATTTTTGATAAGGACTCTCTTTAAATTTCTTAGCGGAAAAATTCTCCAGAAATGTCATCACAATCTCCCTTTTTTCACATTCGCAATAGCTACTTTTTACGCGAGAAACAAATTCCCATTTTCGAAGTTTATTTGGAATTGGAGGAAAAGGAAAAGAGAAAAAAAATCCCCGACATATGCCATTCAGAATAGGAGGAAAGGGAAAAGAGAAAAAATTCCCCGAGAGTTGTCATTCAGAATCGGGCTGATAGATACATCCATACATAAAATGTGAAGTTACATAAAAAATATGCTTTTATTATTGCACTCGTTTTTACTAACTTTTTAAAAAGAGGTCCATATGTTGTTTCGAATTCGATTTGCTATGGAAAAATAAGCTTTGTTCTTCCCCTCCTCCTGACGGCTTTCAAAATGGGATTCATTTGCGTTCAAATCTTCCACTCTGTAGTAAATGCAAATGTTGTGGAGTGCTCAAACAACGTTTATAATTTCACTGACTTTAAGCGATGAGTAATATAGTTCAAGATGAATTCCTTATGACCCTTCACTCATCTGAAAAAGAACAAACATGTCCCTAAATCTCCGCCTTTCACCTTCCGCATCAGCAATCTGGGACTCGTTCTTCTCTTCAAGCAATAACGCCGCGGCTATGGATTTCATTCTTATAATTATGCATCCACTTAAATTTTATTTTTAAATTACAGTGATGCTAGGTATATTTAGTTATTTAAAAATATTTACAAACTTTAACTTCATATGCTGCTATAGTTTGGTAGCAAATATTTCTTTGTTTTGTTTCGATTTCACACATTCCTAGGCAAACAGCTGATTTCGAAAGATGTTTTCTCTCTTCCTCTTCTTCTTTCGTTTCGATCGTAACGTAGAATACC